CCTGGGCCGCGGCGTCGTGGGCGGTCCGGACTCAGCCCGGGCACAGCCTCCCGGCTGCGCCTCCGGGGGACAAGAACCGGGTCCGGGCCTCCGACCCCCAACCCCCGCCCCCGCTCCTCTACCCTCTCAGAGTCGGCCCAGCGAGGCCCAGGCGGGAGGAGCCCCCGTCACATCCTCCTCACCCTCTCTCGGGCTTCTGAGCCTTCACTCCCGAGCAGCCATGTACCTTGAATGGGTCGTCCCCGCCTGCCTCCCTCGACCTGCCTCTCGAAGCCCTGAGGTTGAACATTAACCAGCCGGAGCTATAGAGTGGGGTAAAACGTTACATATAAAAATGAATCATCTATCCGATCCTGGGAGTGAGGACTTATAGAGAGTTCTGCGCCGAGAGCTGCCCCGGCCAAGTCCCTGGCCCGACGCACCGACCCTTCCGGCGGCCACTTCCCCAGCGGCTGGGATTGTGTTGGGACGGGAGGGTTAGAGGTTAACGGACCAGCATTTCTCCTTGAGTAGCTTGGTATTTAGGCCTTCTAACGCAAGCGAATGTTCTTTCCTCTCACACTTGAGATACACAGAAAGATCTGAAACAGCTTTTCCTCTTTTCCAAAGGTTAGTAGGAGCAGCTGCAGTTGCAGAAGGAGTCGCTGCCCACAGGGTCCGGAACCTAGTTTGGGCGGACATCTCCGGGAATCCGCTGCCAGCCCTGACGCGCTGGGTGGACCCTGGGAGGCAAGGCTGTGTGGGTAAAGAATGGAGCACCCCAGGCCGCCAGGAGCCAGAGGGGAGCCGCGAGGAGGGCGACGCAGAGCATGCGGGTCCTGATCCCGAGACAGACTCTGAGCAAAGCCCCGGCCAGCGATCTGGCTGAAATCCCAGGCTCAGGTGCCAGCCTAGCCCCCACTCACCGACCCTGTCACTCCTAGTCTCTGACCTATCTGTTTCTTTAAACATGAATATTAGAACGTTACAGTGGCACTTCAGCACTGACTTATGTGCCCAGTCAAATGTACAGAACATATGAAAAGATAACAGCTGGAGAAGCAGTGAAGCTCCTGAATTCTTGTGCCCTCACCTGGAAACATTAGCAAATCCCTGAAAAGGAAGGTCATTTCCTTCCTGTATCCCGTCTCTTTCCCTCTCCCTCATTCAAGAAAAGAGAGAAAGTGGGTGCAAACTAGAGAAAGATGTGATGTTACAAGAGCTTTCAGGAATTGCCAACCAACGTGAAGAAAAATTCTTGTACCTCTTAAGAAGACGGGTGTATTTCTATGCAAAATAGCTGCTTTACTCAAAATGGAGTGCCTAACCTATAGTAACTTCACAGCAAGTATTTTTTGAGCAGGTAACCTCCTCCCCTTGGACCCTCATTCTGACCTGTTCATTGAAGCAGCACCATTTTTACTGAAAGCATTCACCCGAATCTTTGTATTTAGGTGTGCAATCAAATAGCCATGGTGGTGTGTATGTCTGGGGTGAACTCTGCCTCATTCCACTACTCTCATGCTCATGTCTTAGCTTCTTCAAGGGCACCTGCTTCTCCGTCAGTGTGTTCACAGCCTGTATAGTGATCCTGAGAGTTTCGGGGGATGGGGGAGAGAGGCAACTGAGATACTGGGGAACACGGTTTTCAGACAATCAGCAGGCATCAAGCATGTGGTGAGTACTATGCATGTGTATTAGTTGGACATTAAACAGTTCCAGAAGAAATGGCTTTGAGCTTAAGATGTAGTTAAAGGATGTCATCACTTCATGTAGTGTCAATGCTGTAACTTTAGTGCATTCAATATTCTATGTGGTTCTCTTAGAGCAACAGAGCCCAAGTTTGTCATCACTCAGCTTTGTGTTACCCCTCTTCCCCAAGAAAAAGAGAATTGACTCAAATGTTCTATCAGTTAGCTCCTCAGAGAGAATGAACACATCAAAGCAAATAAATAAAAAGAGGTATGAATCACAATCAGTTGCCCTCCAGTGACTTAGAGACATAGAAAAACATAGGTAGATAAAGGGCATTTACTTTTAAAGGTGTGTGTGGTTGGAAAAGGTGGTATTATAAAGGGCATTGCAGTGCTCACTCAAACTGTCTTCTCCCCCACCAAATTACCATGTTATCTGACACCCTCAATCTATTTGTGTCCTGAGTAACAGACAGTTTGACCAAAAGGTCCTAGACTAGAGGGCTTGGGTGATTGGAAACAAGTTTGACAAGAAAGGAATCTGGGTGGGTAGAAGTGGAGAGAGGATGAGGCCACAGTGGCTGGAGAAGCCCAGCAACTGTTAAGTCTCTGCCAGACCCTGCATTCACATGAAATGCCTTGTCAGAGAACAGGGGATTAGGAAGAGCTATCAATACAGCTTCGTGGGTGGGAGAAATTTACGCATCTCTCCACGTCCCTTTTCTTTGCCTTTCCTTTATTTACTACCTTCTTCATGTCCTCCTCCTTTTTGCCCTTCTCCCATCTCAGGAGACTCTCCCCAGAATTCTAGCTGCTCCTGGATTATCCTCGGCTTGTCCCCTCTTTTGAGTTAAGACTTCAGATTGTTTGCAGTGTTTACTCTTCCAGATATGAAACGTTGTTTTATCCAATCCAGAATTTACCTGTAAACCATTTGTATTCATAAATATGGAGTGCTTGTATAAATAATAAAGGTGTCAGGGCCAGTAAGTAAAGCATGCAATATGGGAATCTGTATTTTCATAGCAACAGAGGGACTGTACTTTGCACGTTCTTTAATAAAGCCCCACTGCATGTTGGGTATCCTGGAAGTGTCAGTGAACACACTCCTTTCATTCCAGGCAACATTACCCTTAGCATTATGACTACCAAAGTGGTAAATCTCAGCTTAGTTTACTATTCTCAGTGTGGAAGCTCCTTCTCTGCCTGAAATCACCACCTGTGGATTTGCATACATTGTCAAAATTATGTGTTCCTGGAGAAGACAGATACCGTCCTGTGTAGAGTTTATGTGCTAATATAAGTTCCTTTCTGCATCTTTCCATATAAAAGTATTTCTCTTTCTTGTGTTATGTCCTATTGTTATTAGCTCAAGCAGTATTTTATAGAGGTTTTTCTTCTTTTTATGGTTGGAAAACACCTTTATAGTCATTCTGTAACTTTCAGATTAGGACTTGGTAGAAAGACTTCTTCCTCCATAGAAGAGCTGCCACATTTCTATCCTCCTTTGATTTCTTTTTTTTCTAATTTCTTCCAACATCTCTCCTAGACGTAAGTCTAAATCTCACATCTCTCTCCCTTTTTATTTTTTAAACTTTCAGTTCTGGGCACTCATTGTTCCCATACCTGAAAATTATCCCTTGTCCATACTACTCCTTTGTCATTTACTATGTGGAGTGTTTTAATGAATTAACATTTGGGGGATCATTTTCTTTCAGGTTTTTTATGGGAGCCTGGCATAACAGTTGGTAAACAGTAGATGTTCAATAAATGCCAACTGATCAAACAGTATAATTAAAACTTTGTTCACAAAAACAAAGATCAGACATTAAAATCTATTTAATTGGCATGAATTAAACCTCAGATTAATTCTAATTAATTTCTAATATTTTCTCAATAAATCAGATATTTTAAAGAATTCTATAGAAAAAATTTCAACTTAAACTTTTTTACCACCACTTCATCTTTATGTGAGAATTTTTACGATAATAATTCATATTGTTCATCATTTTCATTAATGTTCATAAGACATTGGACACATTTTAATGTTTCCTGATATATCTTTATTAAAATAAACATTTAAAAATATATCTATAACGTGGGAAACGTGTGTGGTGAGGGAGACAGGGAGGAGATGTGTGTATGTGTGGTGTGTAGTGTGTGAAGGGGGGTGAGGAGACACATAGATGACAGAATTTTCCAGTTTACAATGTCACAACCTAAGATTATTTTACTAGTTGAGATTATGATCCCCAACTCTCATAGTTATTTTACACTTTTAACAACTTTACTATTCACAATATACAGTAAAATGAAGTGCATCAAAATATACTTGGACAAAGTTGTTTTTTCACTTTTGTAGTTAGAAACAAGGAAACTTGAGAAGTTAAAAATGTTAGTCAACTCCAAAACAACACAAAAGCATTAGCCCAATCAGATGTTGATTAAAATCATAAGCTAAACAAACCACAGTAACTTTTTTCTGCTGATTTTTGCCCAGATAGCTTCAAATATTTTTAATTAATTTATTGGTGGCAAATATTCCTTAGATCACTTACCTCATTCACTCCCACTTTCCAGCTACTACCATAAAAACAGACACACATCACTACATCAATGGGTGAGTGACATTACTTTTGATGAGACAACTATGAAGCATTTAGTAATTCTTATACTAGAGAAAATATTTTGTCTTATCATGCTAAATAAAGGAGCAAATAAACAAACATATATGAACAAATATGTAAATGTAGGGATTGGAATGGTAGGGTGTTAACAGTGAGGTGGGTTTTGCAGTGCCTATAGGGCTTTCAAAGACCCCAGTTTCTACTGAAGAATCACTAGTCCTGGCTTCGTTGTTTCTTAGAAGGCACTCTAGCGAGGGTTAGATGACTGGAAATTCGAAAAATCAAGGGGAATGATGATTGGGAACTTAGAAAATGTGATGGAGTAGATAGATATTTTTGATCGGCTCAGGCACTACAATCATCATTTTAAAAAATTATCTACACACTCAAAACAGGAGGCCAATATTATTTTCACAGCACTCTACATATACTGATGCTCAGAAGTATCTTGCCTCAGGCTACCTGGTTAGAGTAGCAGAAATGAACCTAGGATAGGACTCAAATCAGGCACAATCTGACAAGAGGCTTGTACTCCCAACCACTAAGCAAACTGCCACTGTGAAAGAATTTAGTCTTCTGCATTACTTTCTGTTGATGTGATTAGAAAATGTCATTCGTGACTATTACCCAAAAAGTGTACAAATAACAAATGTTG